AGTGAATGGAAGAATTGACGATGGCAACATGCCGATCCCCAAATACCAGTGCAGTCACCACTGACGAAGTCCTTTCCGAGGTGACATCGATCGGATGATTGAGGAAAGCTGATTGGAACATCAGACCACCACGCAATTCAAATCGACAAGACGAGATTACAAGGTCGATGTGAGCACCATCGTGGCCATCTTGAAGGATTAGACTCACCTTCCAAAGTAAAAAAATGTCATGTTAATTCAGAAATGCCTGGAATATGTTTCATAATAATGAGTGGGCAGCTGAATACGCTCACCTACTGCTAGTTATGGAGACGAGATACAGCGAAGTTGGTGTGGATGTAGACGCAAGTTCAAGAAGACATTCTGACCACAGTACCTCGATCACGAATTCGTTGTCTATCGACAGGACGCATCAACAAAATGTGCCGGAGAATGCATGGAACACTTCATTTCAGGCATTGTTTGTGCATGTCGACGATCTGGAAGCAGAAGCATGTTTACGAAGGTATTCTAACCGTTGCTCCGTGATCACAAATTCGTCGACTATCGGTGGGACGCGTCCAAAAAAATATGCTGAAGGATGTTTGTCAATATTGGTTCTGGGCAGAATGTACAGATCTGGAGGTAGAGCCGAAGTCGGTACCCCTTTCGATCAGTCCAAAACGACAATGAAATGCTACTTAAATGGATGATCACCTCAATGTAAGTCGAAATTCTATGAAATGTCGAAGCTTATTTGTCTAAGAATGCAAGTGAAAAGGTGTCTAGGACAGTTGGTAGATCCACAAATACCGGTGTAATCACTACTGACGAAAATCGATTCCCGAAATGACATCTTTTGGATGATTTAGGGAAGCTGATTTAACACCAGAGCAACTCGCAATACAAATGGACAAGGCAAGATTACGAGGCGGACGTGAATACGATCGATGCACCTTCCAAAGCTGGAGATGTCATGTTACTGCAGAAGCGTCTGGTAATGGTGAATGGACCCTTGAATTCTGTCAATACATCGGTGTTCCGCTACTACTACTTACAGAAACGAAGTGCGGCGAAATGGATCACGAAATCGTCGGAAAATTACGTTGATACGATTGCAGGTTCGCGCACCTAGCAATTTGGGAGGACTAATCCGCTAGAAACGAAGGGAGTTTGTGGGGCATTTTGAACGACCTCCCGTAACGTGGTTTGAATAGGCACGCAGGCTACCTCTTCATAGATTTTCGTGATATTTAGAAGTAGTCGTTGAGTAATCGTTATCGTTGCATAGTTCTGCATAGCCTGTTACCGCCTGCTCGACAAAGCAACGCCAGTCTTAGCTTCCTGACTCGATAAAGCCGTTTTTTCGCTCCGCCAAAATCCACGTAAACATGCAAGCACAAATCATCTTGAATATCAGTTTTTCGTCTCATAAAACACACCATTTGGCCTGCAAACCAGGGCGACACACACCACATGGTTCTAAGCTGTCACGCAAGATTTCTCCCACATTTCCTCTAAACTCACACGGCCTAATTTTGTGCTCACAGCTGAGAATTACACCTTAAAGACATTCACGGCATCAACTGCTCTCTGTTAGAGGTGAAAACAACGATATCTGCAGAGCATGGCTTAATTAATTCCCAACGTTGGGTGGAAATTCGCTATACCACAGCTCCATCTGTTGCTCTCTTCTCCGCCTATGTTTGCGTGTCTTCCTAAAGGCGTGGGCGAATTTTTTGTCGAATTAATCTTGCATCCTTGAGCTTTCCGCCGTTGTTACTAGCGCTCTCCTTCAAATTCAATTACTTCCAACTACTTCATAGCGCGCACAGGACGATTTGTGCTTGTAGGTGAAACAAATCTGACACCCCCCCCTCTGATTGGCAGATAAAAACGGCAAGTGTAAGCACCTCAATGGGATAATGATTTACTTGGACAACAGTGCTAAGATGTCCCTAAGTGTACCCGTCTGTTAGACGAAAAGTTGATGATCGGCTGAGTGATGAATCGCTTGTAGGAGCACAAGTTTGTCGTGGGCCTTGGCGCGAGGGCCACTGAGGTGAATTTAGCCCGATTAGGCCACCTTGCTATCCGCGAAGATAAAGAAGAGCCTAGACGACGAAGACACAAGCCCCCCCCCCCCTGATAGCTCAACCAAGTTGTTTTCGTGTTCGGCGTTTACGCGTGTGAAACAGCGTGAGTCGTCATCGTTATGACAATATTGTGACTTAAGTGTATGCTATCACGCCGCTAAGGTGTGAGTTGGGGTTCCTATGGCTGTCGACACTCTGTGAAAAGGGAGCATCGTGTCGGAGACTGAAGCGACTCACAGCAATCCTTTGAGCATGTAGTGGACGGACAGCCACCCCGCGTGAGTGTGCGTGCATGAGGGCCCGTATGTACCAATGACTCACCCCCTTTTGTTATTGGCCTTTGTCAGTAATCGCCTGTCACGCACGCGTACTCATACGCACACAAAGCCACTTGGCTGTTTTGACACCAATAAAAACCAGTCGTGTCCGCTCTCACCCCTTTTCCACTCTACTCGAGTTGTCTTTCTGCTCTTAATTAGAGGTAGTGCCAAGCCCCTAGCTGGTACATTGGTGACCCCGTCGAACGAACTCATTATTCCGGTGATTTCCGTCGAGTTATTTTCACAACCCTCTTTCTCCAGTGTCAGTCCACTGCAAGCATTACCCAATAAACATGAGATATTGGCTTGGGGGTGGAATTGAGCCATCGGCGTCACGCAAGTGAAGGCTGCTTCTTTGCTACTCAAGTCTGGCCTAACCTGCGTTCCGTAATTATTAATTCTCTTTAGAATCGAAACGCATCTAAATCCTAGCTACAAAGGGAGAATACGGTGGAATGCATACAGTAACCAGCCGCCCGAGAAAATGTAACATTTATCATTGGGTGAATTATTCGCCGAATGATTAATTCGCTAGATTTCGCTAAACACTAGATTTGCCACATTATGCTAATGCCTAAAAGTTAGCGGAAATAAAGCGATGATTGTAAATGCAGCATTAGGGCTTCGTAGAAATCGCACAAAGCCGAAACTGGCAAAACAGCAAGAAATATTGACGGGCAATAAAATTTGCAAGATGCGAATGACTCAACTGTGTAAATGTTCATTAAATAGGCAGTTAAAAATTAGTTTTATCGATTCTATCCCACTTAAAATAACGAGATGCTCCCAAGGTGTTGCAAATGATATTGAAATGAGTGTGAGGTGATTTTGGATCTTTAGTGATTACCGAATCATGAAGTTACGCCTAAGGCCCAACACTCGTGAATAAGGTTTTGGCAAAATCTGCAAATCGGCATTGTTTTAAATCGTTTTCATCCTCCTCGACGTGGTAGAATGTGCAATTTGCGTGCTTCTTCGGTTTAAACAAGGCCATCAGTCGTCATGTTCTACAAGATGCATCTTAATTGAACTGAAAACTGCGTGTTGCCGTGAAATTGTGGGTAAAAAATCAATTTTTTATAGATCGGTCTCTATTCAGGCTTTTAATCGACAAATGTTTTGTTTAAATCAATCAAAGTAAACCAGCAAAATTCATATTTTACCAAAAAGTAATCAGCACTAAGGTAATTAGATCTACTTGTTAGCGCAGTTCAGTCTAACAGTTCAAATCCTCACCAACGTCAAGTTGCCGGAATGGACAACATTGAGTGACAATAATTTAATTGGGTTTCACAGCGAAGTGCGCTCTATTTGAATGTTTTTACCGGCGCCTAGAATTTAACCACAAATCACAAATCATAGTATTTTGCTGAATTATAACCTTGAAAATTTGCGCACTGCGATCAACGCTGAGAAGAATAAAATCTTAAATCGCATTTTCTGTGTATTGGTCATGGCGCACAACTTAACGAGGCCTATCGATCGACTGGTCACGGTCAGGCAGCCAATCGCAGTGCGTGCGTGACTAGGCTATGTTTAAACCATCCATTCCATGCGATCGATGTGCTATAACAACTTAAGAAATGAGTTTAACCAAATTTTGTACAATTCATTTCAATCTATACTTTTAACTTGGTGTAATATTCATTTGGCCATGATAGAAAAGTAAATATTTCCCTCATTTTAACGTGCGGCTGAGTATAAAATTTTCACTTATCGCACATCAACACCAAATTGGTCCCCAAACGTGATTTCTCCAAAAATACCAGGGGTTATTGTTTAAAATTAGCGTGCTTATGCTTCCGCTTTCGCCTTGGTAAGCCACGACGGGGGACACACTATAAAACACGCAGAAACCACCATAAACAGCTGGCATTAAGCCTGGAAATTTGTCGGCAGCTTCGCCACAAGCCAATGTACAAATAATTTACGGAAGTGTGGATTTCGCCTACTTGTGTGGTCTTAATGTGCGAACATGTAGGCTGAATTCCAGCGCTTACCACAAGCCGAGAAAACACCGACGTACTCCGTCACTTCACACAAGCACAAGAAGCCTGTTCAGCAGATTACACACAAAAAAAACACCTCAAAGACGCAGACACTCGCAAAACTTTGTGAATGTCATTGCCGCTGACAGGAGTGATGTTTACGTACAGACATTTTGGCCAACTAAATCATTATTCCTGCGTTCACTTTTCGTTCCCACTTCGGCATGTAAATTAAATTGTAGTTAGTCGAAAAATAATCCTTCTGCAAGTAGGGCAGCTCTGTGATATTCACGAACATGTGGGTGCGTACACAGAACGAGCAGGTCTGGAGGTGCAGCAGAAGGAATTGGTTAACCGTTCAATCAGTACCAAATGACGATGAAACCCCCTTCCATCAATGTTATTTTGGTGGCGAATCCCTTCAGTGAATGGAAGGATTGACGATGGCAACATGAAGATCCCCAAATACCGGTGCAGTCACCACTGACGAAGTCCTTTCCAAGATGACATCGATCGGATGGTTGAGGAAAGCTGATTGGAACACCAGAGCACCACGCAATTCAAATCGACAAGACGAGATTACAAGGCCTATGTAAGTACCATCATGGCCATCTTGAAGGATTAGACGCACCTTCCGAAGTCAAAAATGTCACGCCACAAGAGAATTGTCTGTGGCACATTTCAGGCATTGATTGTGCACAAGTATTTGCAGTGTATCAGATTACCGAGGCTTCCCAGCTATTAATTGCACTTAGGATACGCGGTATCGGAGATCTGGAAGCAGAAGCAGGTCCGAGAGGACATTCTGTCGACTTCCGGACAGGCAAATGTCGTGTTGATTGCGAAACCGCCGGCAATCAGCAGGCGAGTATCGTTGATGCGATTGCAAGTGTGCGTCCCTGGCAATTTGGCAGGACAAATTCGTGAGACAGATTTATACTCAATCATTCAAACTCAAGGAGCAATTTTTGATGGACGCTGCACGCGTTATTTGAACAGGGATGCGGAACACCTCGCTGAATTTCAACGGAATATTGAAGTCGGTGTAGCTTTAACCTGATTCGTACTTCACAATATTCCATATCTGCCTCGAGGGTCAAACTCATGCTATCTTAGCACCCAATCCGCATTTCCACAAGAGCACTTCATCCTTCTAACTAATCTTTTTGATTCCTGATTTCTGTCTGCAACATTTTTATAACCAGTCCAGTTTAACAGGTTTATTGTGTGTTTTACAGCTAAGCCTAAGTGGGATTGCGTTTACACACCGTTCTCTCAATGCAGGTGTGCGCCGCCATGTTGCGTTTGGATTGGACGGAGAAAAACTAGCACTAACAGTTCGAAGAGCCATCCATCAGTGACAATAAAACGCACCTCTTGGTACACATGGCACAGACCTGCTTCTTACTGCACAGGGTATTTCCAAAATGCAAAACCAAGCATTTTATAGAGTCAAAATCGGTCTCATTGAGGGGGCTGGTTGTAACTTTTTCAGTGAGCTGTTTCCTCCAAGATACGCTCTCAATTTAAATCCACAAAATGCTGCTGAAATTTGTTTATGGACGAAAACTGGGTCATAGGTAGCGACTTGTGCATAGCAATTTCGCCTCTATTTTTTTTAATCTGCAAAGTCTCTCCTTCTGGAAATACCGTCTTAAAACGTTGACCAATAACGTGTACAGGAATTGCACCGCCGTTCTCCATAGTTGGTTTAGAAGGGTACCAACAACGATGAAGTGTTTGCACCGATCGAGTTCTCGATGTCTTTTTAGTCAAAAAGGAAACCAAGTGTTCAATTCTAACATACTTTCGTGTGTTTCCCCTTCGTTTAAACCGTCTTCTGTCCTGTTGGGCATTGGATCTTCTAAATTCTAGCCCCAATTGTTTGGGATTATTTTGCAACAAGGCATCAGCCTGAGGAACTGTGAAGCCAGCGGCCATGGTCGGTGTGTTTATTGAGACGGCTTAGTGACTGTCAGTATTAAAAAGGTGTAAACAACCGTACATGTTTGTCAGAATTTGCCATCAAGAAAGGTGTTTCCGGGGGGGGGGGAATCGACGCTAAATATGCTCAACATTCCGTCCGCTAGGTAGCTGATTGGCACCATAAAATTCTGGTGTTTTGCTGTATAAATACAATGCTAGTAAAAGGGTTTAGGATTGACACTAGAGATTAGGACACTTTGAGAAAATAAGGCGAAATGTTTTGAAATGGTTTTTGCGTACTTCACACGCGTTAACTGCGAAGGTAGATTAAATGGACAGGAAGCAACAAAGGATTCATGCTAGCAAACGTCGAAGTGACATAGGTAAAGATTTCCACTAAACCATTAGATCTTGGCTGTCCCTTACAACCATCCACAGTTGAGGAATTGAGCTATAACTATTAACATCATGGCAGAAATTTGAAATCACGTCTGTCTTTGATGATGATGATAGGGGCATTTTGCAAGGAGTAAGGTGGAAATCTAGCAAGCGAGATGAGGAAAATTTGGCAGACACACAGTGAATATATTTCCATACATTCTCCGGCACATTTTGTTGATGCGTCCCGTCGATAGACAACGAATTCGTGAATGTGTTCTTGAACTTGCGTCTACATCCACACCAACTTCGCTGTATTTCGTCTCCGTAACTAGTAGTAGGTGAGCGTATTCAACTGCACACTCATTATTATGAAACATATTCCAGGCATTTCTGAATTAACATGACATTTTGTTACTTTGGAAGGTGCATCTAATCCTTCAAGATGGCCGCGATGGTGCTCACATCGGCCTTGCAATCTCGTCTTGTCGACTTGAACTGCGTGGTGCTCTGGTGTTCCAATCAGCTTTCCTCAATCATCCGATCGATGTCATCTCGGAAAGGACTTCGTCAGTGGTGACTGCACTGGTATTTGGGGATCGGCATGTTGCCATCGTCAATTCTTCCATTCACTGAAGGGATTCGCCACTCAAATAACATTGATGGATGGGGGTTTCATTGTCATTTGGTACTGATTGAACAGATGAACAATTCCTTCTGTTGCACCTCCAAACCTGCTCGTTCTGTGTACGCACCCACATGTTCGTGAACATCACTGAGTTGTCGGAATTGCAGGAAGATTGCTGCTCGACAATGTGACCTCTTCGAGGTAGCCATCATGATGCCACTTCGTCAGTGTGTACCACCACCTCGGTACCAACCCCTCGTAACACCGCTTTAAGTAATATGCTGAAGTGTGAGCACGACATGATGGTTAGAATCATGTCACAGCTACGTCAGCAGGCGTGTTGATGTGTTGCTTGTAGAAGATTATTTTCCTCTGCAGAAAACCGGTCGGTAACGGAGACAGCTGGCCAAGTTAGCGAGTGTTCGAGCGTAGTGAGACGCTTTCGTCGTTCTGTGAATTGTGACTGAGAATAAGCGTCGCGTTAGTTGAATATCCCATCCATACTGGACCTACACCATGTTGTTAAGAGCATTAAGCCAATGGGAGCATCGTGTAAACTTCAACATATTTGCTTTTAGTGCAAGTGACTGATTCATGGAACTCGTAAACAGTGTGAATTTGTGAGACGAGCAGCCGGCCAATCAAGACGAAGGAAGTATAAGGCGCATACTTTGTGTTTGATCAATTGTAAACTCGAATGCGGCAAAATACTTGAGGCGGCAGTTCGTGGAGTCCTGTCACTAAAGTGTAACAGGAAGGTGCCGCAGGTGCAGATTTCTTGATTGTGAAATAAGCAGTGCTGAAATGACCCTGATTCATGTCCAAACTTAGCATTGTCTGGGTACAACTCGAATGCGTCCCGCCGTCTTTATTTTGTCCCCACCTTTCGCACACTTGAAACTGAAATTTTAACTTGACGCCTACACTTGCGCATGACCACATGTTTTATGTCGGCATAAAAGTACGATGGGCTTGACATTCTAGTGAGTGTCGAACCATATTGTTTGATGGCTAGCAGCATCACGTGATGTGGCGATTTTATGTGTTTCAGGCGATTCCTCACTAACTCTCCGAATTAAAATCAACAGATAAAACGAGGAATTTCGAAACAACTAGACCAAAATGCGATGAGAAAATTAACCACCGGAGTAGCGGCTAGGTCGGAAACCTCTTGGGGGTAGTAAATAGCGTCTAGTTTCGATGACCTACGATGACTGTAAAGTCATTTAAAGATAGTGATCTCAAATTTCGCGTTCTGTTTCCAAGTCAGCATGCCTAACGAATTGCTGGCATCACACAGCGTCCTATTCGAGCAACCCTCTTCCTGTGCAGCGGAAAGGGTTGCTGGTCTGCAAGAAAGTCACAAAATCGCTTGAAAGAAATTTGTAACTCCGTGAAAAGCTGGAGTTTATCTCTACAGCAGAAGATACATTGCCAGGATCGCAGACAGTTTGCTTAATGGCAGTGCAATCACAATTGGTAAAATATAATTTGGAAGTAGTATCTATCGGATGGTACCGGGAAGCTGATCAGAACCTTCAAAAAGTGTTAAGATCATGATCTACGTATTGCGTCTGCATGGGTCCTTGGATTGCCTCGGCGTATGGTCGCTTAACGACTACTACATTCACAGACAGGAAGGGGCGACGTTGATCTGCAAGCCAAGGTAAGTTCAAGAAGACGTAGTGATGACGGTTGGAGAGGTTGTTGGCGATTTGACCACGAAATCATCTTCAATCAGCGGGAATATGACCTTGATTTGGAAATACTAGACAGCAATTAAATTTAAGGACACTTTTGGAGGTCATTGCAGACTTGGTTTGTATTGAGATGCAGACAGTCTCGTGGCAGTTCTGCAAGATATTTGGAAGTCCTCACTGCTTCAGGCTTTCTGGAATTAGTAGTCCCTCTTTTCAGTTTCCTAGTACATGAAGAATGAATTTTTAAATACCCCTGCGAACATAGCCACTCCATTTCCTTCTGCTTCATGTCATTTAGCGGAAGTCTTTTTGCTGGGAAATGTAATTACTGTATCAGTACAATCAATTCAGACGCTTTTCCTTAAATTAGACATTAACGATACACAAGATGCACTATCAGACAAATACCAGAGTTGACCTTGAACAGGGTTAAATAAGAGGTCAGATTGGCGCCGATAGGAACAGCCCCGTTTATGGACAGAATGCGACTTTGCCTGCGCAAAACAGCAACAATTAGGATTTCGACAGACATCGCAATGGTAAGTTTGGTGTAGCCAATGACCGGTGACGGGCTGGCAGTATGGAGGCTCAGTTTAAATGTCACGTGGTCAATTTAAACAAAAAATTGTTTATCTTGGCAGTGTAAAGCTTCCCCACTACCACGTTATATGAATTTGAATTTCGACAGTTAGAAGACCCACCACCTAACCTTATAAAGAAAATGTTTTTCTGTTTTTTTTTTTATCATAAAAACTAGCCGGAAAGCTCAAGAAGGTGGGTATAGAAAAGGTGCAAACGTTACTTGCTGTTTTCGGTTGAAAATTATCTTAAGAGTATAGTAAGTAAGGCAGTGAATTCGTTCAAGCATTAACAGTTTATTTGGCAAAGTGAGTTACAATTTTGTAGGGCGCTGATTGGTTAGTTTTCAACCGGGCGGATGATTTAACTTGGTGTTCGTGTGCGTCGGTACCTCAAGTCAGTGATCAAATCGATAAATCGAAATACTTCAGCTGTAATGCACTATTCCATGTATTCAGACCATTTGTAAAATGTGCACAACCGTCTAACAACCCTGATATCAATAATGTTGCTACGTTTTGCCCACTGGAGTGTCGTTGTTAGGGGAATTTTGTAAACAATGACGAAACTCTAACACGCGATGAGTCGTCTTAGGGAATTCTGGGTCGCCAAAAACTGTAAAAAGTTGCGGTTAAGATAATCCTTGTTCCTGAAAACAATCGCCGTATAAACTACTTAATGCGATCTTAAATATGGATTTCATTGCCTTATATGTTGAATCCCCAACGATGGACAATACGTTAGCATTACGAAAACGCCAAGCACGAGAATCGCCTCAAGTGGCTGTTTGCATCTGCCAGAAATGCAAATATAACCGATTTATCCGCTCTACCTTCTAACCGTAACACGCTAGACTGGATTTGGGGATTTTTTTCACACAGCAACCAAGCAAAAACACACAAGTAACCTGACACGCTAAATATTTTTCCATCCTGTGAAGACGCCAGACATTTGCGGGTATCAGATAAGGTGATTCGTGTTTGAGGTTAGTGTTTTTGCGCTACGAGCAAACGCAGCAAAAAAATTTGGCTGCTTCTCAGCAATTTTGAGTGGATTTGCGGTTTCGTGGAGGTAAGAGGCAGTCGCTGCTTTTCAGATTTACTATTTGTACCCCTTTCGACTCATTTTGCCTGTTGTGGAAGGATCACGTTAAGTCCGAATTGCGCACTTACTTTCGCTAGCAGATTAAACGCATAAGAAAGTAAGTTAGCTCATATAAAATGGGATATGAGACTCCTGGGCCTCAAATGACGCGCCACATCAATCATCGCATATTAAAACAAAAAAACCCGCAGGTATATCAAATTTGATGAATTAACTTAGACAGTGTGCATTTAGTCGAGCAGATTCCATTTTCTTTGACTTGTTCATCAATGGCTAAACGAAATTTAAATCTTCAAATGGTTTTCCTTTATTGAGAACCGGTTTAATCCATCTGATTGGCTGTCTTCCAACTCCACTCTGTAAAATGAGGCTGATTTCAAAACGAAGTTATTCTGCAAGTCCGACTTTGCGGTTACCGCAATGATTGCATTCTGGAGGATCTACATCTGGAAAATGCATGGTTAAGGCAGCTACTCCCAGCCCAAACTCTAGAGAACACCCTGCAGGGTTTGGCAACTAAGATTGAAACGTAGTCAAAGTATCACCCTGTCTAATCTCTCACGTTTAGTAGCTAAGGTTTAATTGAGATTCAACGCCTCATAGTTAATGTCATCCGTGAATTTCCACTAAACAGACAGGAACAGCTTTGGAGAGTGAGGGTTATATTTTGGGGTTGGTAACAGCAGTGCTTGTCTCACATCACATTTGCAGACTGCTGATTGAAATACAATTGTTAGAGATATCGATCTCTTTTCAGACTGCTCAAACGTTAAATTCGGAGGTATTTAACTTGCCAATTCGTGTCCTCAATTGACAGTTGATGCCCTCGGGTTTGCTTGGGACATCTTTAACTTCAACCAACACGAGATCCTCGTCCGTTTCAGTGGACTTTCAAGGTGTCGGTTGGTAGAAGATCGACATTTCCATTTTCCCACCAAAGTAGAAACGACTGACTTAAACACTTTAAATGTTGTAAGTAACCCCTCCGACTTACACTAAACCACAGAACACGGAGCAGCAGGTCTAGCTGTCGCCTCGATGACTTCAACGCAAGACGTTCCTCGTCTTGTGTCTATTTCTGCAGCAATTCACTGCAATTTCTCAGAAACTTAGCAAACAACCACTTCACATCAATTAGACCGTTCCATTGCGATGTTTTTTTTTATTCCAAGATGCATGAATCCTATGCGGCTAAGGCTGAAGAAGTCATGCTTATAAATAAACCAGTGTTTGTAAATTACTTATCTGGGGATATGCACCACGCAGATAAAACCATGACCAGGGACCTCAGTTTAAACCTTAGAAAGAAGAATTGTTAAATTATTTAACAACTCATGTTAACAACTTCTCGTATGTTGTAGAATGTGTCTAAACACTACCAGATTTGTCGGCTTTCTGAAATCAGTTTTTAATCGGGCATTGAAATATATCAATTGCTACAAATCTCTCATTGATTCCAGGCTATTGATTTCATCTGGTGCTAAGTTTGCAAAATTTTATCGATTTTTTGTTGGCACTTCGCAGAGAATTGCTCAAATCCAAATTCCTAGAGCACTTTAGAAGATCAAATGTCGACTTTTACATTACACTCCTGGCAGTGTAAATAAAATTTCATTTCACAAACC